GGCACAAGGAAGATCTCACCTGGTCAGAAGCATCAGGGAGCCCCAATTGGTCGTAAGAACCACTGGCAGATCAAGGAGTCAAATTGGATTCTTGAGCTCAATGTTTTTGAGCCATTTTTGTTGCACGTGCCACAAGTGCAACGGGCTTCTGACCGCTGCGACCGATGCATAAGATCTTAGGGCAGTGTGAGTGAGAGAAGAGGGTGCTGGACAGCGCGCGCTACGTAGCCATGCACCTTGTTTGGGACCAAGCAGCCTTGCAAAATGTGTAAAGCCTATGTGTCTTGGCAACCCAGTGATGGAGCTGTTTGGATCGATGAGTTGGAATGAACGTCTTACTTCTTGACACCATCTTGCGATTTAGATCTGGACATGGACGACAACACAAGTACTGCAAGATTGCCATGACGCAGAACTAAACCTGTCACTGTTTCATAGGGCAAGCGTACAAGCATAACGACGTAACGGGGTAGAGGTTGACTGCTTCAGATCCCCAAACGTCGTAAAAGCGTTACGGCGTATGTTGCACCGGATCCCCAAACGTCGTAAAAGCGTAATGGCGTAATCACACTTAAGACACCAAATGCTTGCCCACTGCACTGTTTGTGTGTCTTAGGAAATGCAGTTGCTTTGGACTCACCTTGGCTTTAAAGGAATTTGAATCACAAAATGCATGTTTTGGGCTTGATGTGCAAGTCGGCCCACAGATCAGCCACAGATCAGGCGAGACCCAGCAAATCTGTTCTGATTCTTCTCGGTTTTGGTGCGCCCCTCAGAGCTCCGCGCGGTCTGCGAAGCGCGACGTGCGCGTTTCGCGGCGCTCTGGCCATGGCGTCGTCCCGCCGTCAGCGGCGGTGCGCTGAACTGGGTCCATGGCTTTCGAGATCCCAGTCCTGTCGCGGGACAGGGTTGGAAGTGATCCAAGACAGGTCTTCTCCGGAGTCTTGGACCTGGTGCAGACTCCCGTTTTGACAGAAAAAAAATTGGGCCGGTGCCGCCGTTGCCTTCTTTTTTCCACATCGGCAGCAGCCAACTTACCTTTATTTGATTTTTTGCTCTCTTTTATCCTTCTGACTGACTTGTTTGGGCCTTCAAATGTTCCACCAACTCAGGAGAGATATATGATCCGAAACAGATCACCCTGCTTCTCGCCGAAGTCCTTCCAAGAGGACATGCAGCGGTTCGGAAGGCCCAACGACGCGACGCGTCGGCACATGGTGCAAGGTGATGCACCCGAGGGGTGCACCACTGATGCACCTAGAAGGACACATCAAAGCCACACGTAGTCGTCCCCAAATAGATAGAAGTTCGTAGATCCCCACTAAAAGGGTATGGGAAACCGTTTCCATCTATTTGGGATCACTATATAATCACGAAAGCTAGCACCAGCTAGCTGGAGTTGTCCTTGCTTTAGCAAGTGAGGGGCTGGAATCCTCGAGATCGCCGCATCACGTGAAAACTTCATATGTAGGGGGGGCCCCCCCCCCCCGGTGGGTTCAACTCCCCCCTGGGACGCCTCTGGGACACCTCTCGGGCACCTCTTATGGCATCCACTTTGGTTTAACTCCTTTGGGATACGGTGCAACAGATTCAACAAGCTCACAGGTTCATGACATCGACATTGATAGAAGAAACCAAGTAAATCATGCAAGCAGCTTTGTTTTGCCTCTGGGACACCTCTTGGGCACCTCTTATGGCATCCACTTTGGTTCAATTCCTCCGTGGAGGTTTTGGGATACGGTGCAACAGATTCAACAAGCTCACAGGTTCGTAAACACATCGGATGCATCGAATAGTGTGGCAAAGTCCAGCCACGCTTCCTTAATTATCGGGGACTTCAATTCTAAGGTTGGCTGTGTCATTGCTGTTTGTGTGTCTTACATGTTCACAACGTTTTACCTCATGAGCATTTGCCTCAATCCGCTTGATGTCCCACCAGTCCGGATGCACCCCTGCTAGCTTTCGTCACCTACCCTCGCCCTCAAGTAGTCAACAACAACAACAACAACAACAACAACAACAACAATACATATAAACAATAATCATGATAAACATGTAACCACCCCAAAGACGGTCCCAAAGACGGTATGCTCCGATTCCCGCAGGTCTTGGAGACGATGGTGGCCTTTCGCTTGGAAGTCAACGTGATCCATGAGAATGTTGGCATCAACGCATGTGTGCGGAGTCGCGCCTGGCAAGGAGCAGTGCATCAGCTGACGCGCATGGTTAGCCATGCGGTGTCTCCTAGTTTGGTGAGCTACAACACAGTCATAAACAGTTTTCATAGCACCTTGTCACTGAAGCTTCTTTTGCTAAGTTTGGAAAGCACAACATGGTGATTTCGGCCTTTTCTTGTGGACCAGGCCATTTGTTTTCCTGACTATCAGGTGGTGAATCGACATGGCCTCGTGCGATGTGCTTGCTGCAGCAGCTCCAGGCTTCTCGCTTCGCTCCGAAGACCAGCACCTATAATGCGCTGATGGCATCTGTGAGCTCTGGAGCTCGGACCGGGACCTCTGGGACCGGGACCTGCGCAGCTCGTGGCGCTTCTTGCGCCTCAGCTCGCGCTGCAAGCGACTGGGAAGTGGCTTGGAGGCTCCTGGGTGAGATGAAGTTGGTGATGATCCGGCAAGATGTGAAGACTTGGAGCTCTGGAAGCTCACATGGAAGTTGGAGTTTGGGTTTGAGCAACCTGGCCTAGATTAAGAACACCAAAAGACACATGGATGAACAAGAATCTGTTTCAAACAAACCTCTGGAGGGCGCTGTGATGAAGTAGTTGTCCTGTTGAGGAGAAGTTCTTGGGATGCAACGATGCGGCCTCAAGCTACCTGTTGACCAAATCCTGCGGTGGTCCAAGCTCTTCTGTGAAATCTATTCATCGACGGGAAAACAGGATGACATCCAACTGGGAAAGAGTTGTTTCTTTTTTAATTGAATCCTTTTCAAGTTCCTTTTCAAACCTTTTCAATAGGGAAAAACACGGTTTTAGACAGGTGGTCCGACAGGTGGTCACCCAAGGTCTCGAGGTCCGTCTCCAGCGAAACTAGAGGGTGTGTCTCTCACCCCGCGGACGGGAAGGCCAGTGGCTTCGGGTTCGTGTGACGTTTTTTCGAAGAGTGAAGGCCCCGCTGGTTTCAGCGACACTAAGACTGGATGTGGTGAATTTCGGCATGCTCGTGCGCGAGTGCGGTGATGCCATGAAATGGCGCATTGGAAGCAACTTATTCAGCGTGATGCAGGTAACTTGGACTCAACAAGACACTGCCGCTTTGTCTCTTTGTGCGTTCAAGCTTTTTAGCTGCCATGTTTTGTTTGAGGCTTGGAGTGTGCAGCCAAATGCGAGGGTATATGGTGCCTTCATCAATTCGTTCGGAGCTTCAAACTGGCAGCTGCTTGGTTGCCTTTGACCAGTGCTGGTCAATGCTTTCAAATAGGATGGCATGTTGCTTCATCACGCTTGTCATCCAGCTCGGCCCCAAGGTTATCAGTCTCCAGCTTGGAATCAATGGCCAGACGTGGTATACTACGCGATAAACTTTGCTCCGTAACAAGCAATAAAGGAACTCAAACATCTCTGTTCTCATGTCACTGTCTTTCAAGCTCTTTCTTTGCATTCTCTCAGAAGAGGGTTCTTTGGAAAAAAAATCAAGGTTTCGATGCTTGCTCCAGAGCATGCAAATCAGCAGGATCGTGGACACTGGCCTTGCAAATGCAAGACATGGCACAGCTTCGAACGGATGGGGTCAGGTCTCCCACGTTTCTTGAGACTCCTGATCAGTGGCAAGCTGCTCTTATCACACTGCGCGCTGCACGATGTGCGGGTTTTCAGGTTGACATCCCTTTGTTGAGCGCAGCAGCCAGTGCTTGTGAAGCCAAATGGGCAGAAGCTGCAAGGCTTTTGACAGTTTCTTGCTCAGCAAGTATCAAGTCAAATGAGGGTCTCCACAATATTGTGCTCAGCTCGGCCATGAAACGCCGCAATTGGGAAGTCGCGGTGGGCACTGCCGTCGCAATGGAACAGCTTCGGCTTCCTTTGGACATGTTCGGCCTCAGCGGACTAATAGGGGAATATGACTGGGAGCTTTCGATGCATTTCTTGGCATACTCAACACTTTCTGACATGTCAGATGTTTGTCACAACGCGGCCATCAGTGCCTGTGAAAACATGGGACGCAATTCTAAGGGCTGGCAACTAGCGGCATGTTTGCTACTTTCTTTATTTTGCATTCGTTTGGGCAACATAGCAACCTCCATTAGTTTCAATGCTGCAATCAGCGCAAGTGCAGCATCACGGAAATGGCAAATGGCAATGCAGGAGTTTCGGAGCATGACTGAGATGCACATGAACCAAGATGATGTCTCGTTCAATGCCCTCATTTCTTCTTTAGAGAAGACTGGAAAATGGGAGTTGGCACTGGCCTTGTTAAGGAGGATGGGGCAATTGCACCTTCCGCCAGACGAGTTTAGCTACAATGCTGCCATAAATGTATGCAAGTATGGTGTTAGAAGAGCAAGTGCAACGAGACTGAGGCCGGCACAAAATTGAGTGCCAAGCGGCGAGAGAAGAGGGAAGGAGAGAGGGAGAGAGCAAAAAAACAGCGAACAACAAGAGAGAAGTCAAGTTCTTGCGTTCCACCAACATGATGGTTGCTGTGTGAATGTCACTATGCGTGATGCTCGAAATCCGACCCTACCCATCATGGCTCACGGCCGTCTTGTGCTTGAGTCCTGATTCGGGTTCAATGCCTGAATGTAATTGAAGGCGCACAAGGCCAGTGGAGAAGCAAGTGCCGAAGATCGCAAACTCACCAAGATTCTTCAAGACCTTTTCCATTTTGAGCTAAAAACAACATGCTATCACTCCACACATCTGAAAACTCCATCCATAAAAAAGGGCTCTTTTGTCCTCCAGTGTTTCTTGATTGCTTGGTCCCTGTACACGAGCAAAGATGGCAAAGCTTTTTGCAACACACAGACAGCTGCGTTCTCAGAATGCCATGTTAGAGTGGCTGGATTCAAAAGAGAATGCCGCGAAGGCCAGGACATCAGAGAGCTGAGCTACACATGTCCTTCAAACATTGGACCTAAGGCATATATGGATATATAAGGATATATACGGGAATTGGTAAAAACGTCGGACCCATCCAATGGATTCCAATGGTAGGTTGGCACATCTGGTAGCCCTCCATGTTCATGTTCGCAAACACACAACCAAGCTCAAGCCCTGGAGCACGCTCTAGCACGCACCGAAGCCACTTCTAGGCGTCCCAGGTCTATGACTCGGTGACGGCGGGTCTACAGGGCTTTTACCGGACCAAGCTGCTGCCCATTGAGAAAGAGCACCTTTTTCATCAGTTTTATTCGCCTGAGCTCACCGACCCCTGGCAGACATCTGTTGCGTTTAGAGTTCCTCTCTTTTTTTGCGCGGAAAGCAATCCTCTCCAATAAACGCTTTTTTGCATCCCAAATGAAGTTGTTAGGATGCGGACTTTGCTTCTGCACCGATGATTTTGCTGATGGGGCAATATTCAACAGGCACGAACTTTCGCATTTCTTGGCAAGAACTTCACACGACCTATTGCCAACCTGCACCTCCCACTAGGGAAGACGACATTCATACGACATCTTCTCCAGCGGGACTTTCCTGGCATGCGAATTGGTCCCGAGCCCACCACTGACCGCTTTGTGTGTGTCCTTCACGGAGAGTCAGAATCAACGTTTGGCTGGCATGCTTGGATGATGTTAGATGTATCCATGTTGAGTTGAGTCTGAACGAAAGCTTTCGTGAACGGATCGAAAGGCAAGATGTACAAGGCATTTTCTCTTTAATATAGCTTGTCACAGGTAAGAACAGGATGTGACTCCTCACACAAGACAAGATGGCTCATCCCAGACCCAAGGATATCATTGGATACATGAGTCTTACATGAGGGATGGTGGAATGATTCAAGGTTTTCTGTTGAGTAGCTCCTACGTACGTGCAGCCTCTCAGCTGACGCTTCGGCCAGGATACCTGGCAATGCCTTAGTGGTGGACCATGAGCTGCCATTCACGCAGTGAAAGCCTCAGTCCGACATGTTTTGGCCACGAACCCGTGAGAGGTTCGAGGTCCAAGCTGCGCAGGTTGAGCCATTTTGGCAACTCCTTCCTCAGCAGATTGGAAGCATCCAGATTGCCAAGCCAAGTGCTGGAAGGGTATGGTGCCCAGTTGGGAATGATCGGTTAAAGAGCTAGAACATGCTGCAACACGGAAGGTAGCAACCTCAGATCCCATATTTTGCTTGTGTGCTGCGAATGCCAGTTGACAGTGACACTCCTCACAAGACCTGCATCGGATTTCAGACCATTTTCCTCTCAAAGAAGTCACATCTGATGCAACCTGCACAACGGAGAGGATTTCCGACAAAGACCTTTTCATCCTGCAACGGATTCCGAAGCTGACCATTTGCGAGTTCGGTCTTGTGAAGCTTTCTTAAGAGACCACTGCTAGGGCAACAGAGAGGGGGAGTTTGAGGGTCTACTTGTCTCAGTGAAAGCTGGATTCCTTCTAAGTCAACTCAAAAGTCTTTTGAAATTGTCACAAGGTGAGGAGACAAGTCAACCTGCTTCCGACCGTACCCCAATCTCCAAGATGTTGTTCCTGGTGTCACATGCGCCATGTGAAGGCTAACTCTCATCGACACTCCGGGTGTCCTCTCTGGTGAAAAGCAACGGATCAAAAGGCCTGAACCGTCTTGTGAAAGAACCGCGTGCGCAGCGAAGAAGCACTCTTTGTAGCCTTTTCTGGTTCTTTTCTTCTTCCTTTTGCGGTGTTACCTGTGGGGCACTTTGGAGCCATACATGGGCGCTTGGCACTCCTGAACGCAAGACTATAGTCACACTATATAGTCACTAGTGGTGCAGTCTTCGTGAGAAGTTCCAGCGGCACCCCCAAGTTTCCATTCTGTACAGTCCCTTAAAAGAAAAACAACATGAAAAGGACCTCCACAAATGCCCCCGTTCCGTGCAGGGGCTATGAATTTGAAGCCGTCGTGAAGTGGTTCGCTGACCGCGTGGTGCCTTGGCTCTTGGCCAATGGGTTTTGGCGGTTTTGGCGTGTTCTATTTTTGGGGTGCCAAGGATATGATCATCCTCTTGTTTGATGTCTCCAAGCTGGACATTAGCGATGAGTTCAGGACAGGACTCAGCTGAGTCCCGTTTCTCTCCCCGTCGTGGTGCGGGAACGCTGCCCCGGGACGCTTCCCCAGGGCTCGGAGACGTTGCTGACTCTTGAGGAGGGTGATCCAAGCCACCAAAGGCAACGACCACAAGATCAGCATTTTGTTGAACAAGGCAATTTCTTTTCTTTTGTATGTTTCATGTATTTCACGACCAAAAAAGAAACGAACTAAAACAGATCAGCACTTTGTCGAACGAGGCAGATAATGTGACCACTCAACAGCTGATGCGAGTCTATGGAGCCGGGGGAGCCTAGAGCCTCTGTTGCGCGGACCGCCGCGGAGCAGCGGAGCGCGTGTCGCGGAACCGCGTGTCGCTCGTTCCGCCGCGGTGTTCGTCGGGCCCAAGGCCTTGATGTGGTCCTTGGGCAAGGTGCTTGACACGCCTGAAGTGGCACGGGTCTATGTTGGAGCCTGGGGCGAAGTGGCGGGGGATCTGATGGATTTGATGTTTAACAAAATTCGGTATTTGGGGGTTGCGGGTGATTTTGGAAGATGGTGTGGGGACAGTGACAGGAAGAATAAGTTTTTCAGGTGAGACTTCCACCTTTCGCTGCAAGAATGGCCGAGGATCCTTCTGGGATCAGCCTCTGAAGAACGAAAAGCTTCGGGAACTGTTCGAGCAGGAGGAGCTGCGTCGTCGCCTTTGCCCAGCGCCGTCGCCCAGCGCCCTGCGACGCCATCGCCCTCGCTACGACGCCCGCGTGCGACGGCAGGAGAAGGACCTCTACACCAGAATTGCTCAGCTGCCGCGAAGTGCGTCGCTGCGCAAAGTCAATGCAGGGATCCCTAAAATGGGTTGTCGCATGTCCTCCCTCTTGAGATGGGTTTTGATCAAAACCTGAACTCCCAGAATCACGGCAGGTCTGATTAGTCTGTGTTAGTCCATGCCATTTTTTTCACGGGAAGAAACTGGTTCAACCAACTTTCCTGGGTTTGATCTATGGCCGGATAGAATTGAAAGCAAAGCGTTATGCAGTCCTTGTGAAAAGCATGATACAGTTATTTTTGGGAGTCTTACCGCTGTCAGTGCTCCTTGCAGACTGCTTCAGTGGGTCGGCTTGAGGATTTGATCAAGCGAGCACGCTTGGCGAAGGTGCATGCATTGCTGCTGGCTTGGTCCTCGAATGACATGTCGACTCGTCACGTTGTGCCACGAGTTTGTCGCTCGCTCCCAAGACCCCAGGACTATTTCTATCAAAGAATGCCGACCTTCTTTGGGCACGCCAAAGAGCAAGAGCGCATGATTCAAGATTTGCAAAATATCTACAAAGAGGTGGGGCTGAAACACAGCACGTCGCACGTGGGTCAGATCCACGCGATACGACCAATTGGCCTTCCTTCGCTCCGCCCGTTTGCGGTTCAGATCTCGGTGCAGAAGGGCATTCCCTTGGGCGATTTTCCGGACCCTCGCATGATGCAGGCGCGCCGATGGGACTGGGAAAACCGAGGTCCCTCGACCGTCACGAACGACGACCTGTGCTCGCGCCGGCTCGCACGACGCGTCGGGCTCGCTCGCAGCAAATCCTCACGCCGATGGACTTCTCGAGCTTCAAGCCGGTGGATCCTGCGAAGCTGGAGGTGGGAGAGAGAGGAAGGGAGAGATGAGGGAGATGGAGGGAGAGGAAGATGAGGAAGGGAGCCCACCAAAAGGCGAGCTTTGCCAACAATTCCCGAGGACATGAATTCTGACTTGACTGAAGACAAGACATGGCTTTCAACTTCAAGCAAAGCATAGCAAAGCACTTTCTAGATCTTTCTCTTCCTTTACTTAACACATGAATGCTGAATGCTTTTGACTTGCGAAACGCTCTCTACAGCTTTGGCAACACCAGCTGAGGCTTTGGAGACGCTGCTCACAGTGGATTTGCCCAAGTTGGTGCAGATGATCCCGGAGGACCAAGCCGACGAAGCTAGTTTCTAGGGGGATAGGGACAAAGAACGGGGAGGAATCTATGTTGGCAGGTGTGGGCTGGAATCAGCAGTATGCCAAGCATGCTACCTCATTTGGGCAAGGGAACTTTTAGCAACATTTTGCGCATTTCAGTATTTGCATGTCCCTGCACTCAACGTCCCCAACGTCTCCAACAAGGGGGCAAAGCAGACAGAGGCGACAGAGGCTCTAGTCAAGTCTCTCCAGGGGTTAAGGTGAAGGTCGCCTGAGTTGGAACCCTCTAACACCAACATACTCAAGCGACCTTGTTTGCACTCTGATTCTGATTCTTGCAACTTGGTCGATCGATCGAAAAAACCGCAGGAAGTGCAAGATGATTCGGTGGTGCAGGCCCCACTTTCACCACGAAATCGCTTTCACCTTTCACGAAATCGCGAGTACCGCAGCGCACCGGTGCAGCTTCGCGCAGCGCCTGGCCCAATCACCTCAGAACACGAGAACCGTCCGAGTTCATTCGGTGAGTCGACGGATCAGGCTGGAGCACTCGGCGTGGTGACGGATCAGTCCTTTAAGGGCCTGACCAGCACTCCGCCGCCAGCGGTTGCGAGTTTTCAGGCGAAAAGAACGGCTGGAATTGGGTCCAACCACGTGCCATGTGCATTTCTTTTTTTCTTTCTTTCTTGGAGCACAGATTCGGGTTCCCAATATGGAGGTCTTTCACTCACTGTGACCTTGTGAAACTACCATCCGTGTTGTTGAGCAGCTGAACAGCTCTCGCGTCTGTGATTTATAATCAGTGAAGATCCATCGAATCCGCTCCCGGGCTGAACGACAGAGGCCGACTTCGAGGCGATTGGCCCTAAAGATGGCAAGATCACTGCTCAGCAGGCACGGCAGAAGATGGTGGAGGCGCGCGTTTGGCCCAAGCAGCCGAAGAATCCCGGAACTGGAAGCTGGGTGTTTGGTTTATTGAATGTGGATCACTATCAGATCAGCAGCAAAACCTTCTTGTACAGCGGCGTCTCTGTAAATGAATCTTCTTTCCCATTGGTTTCTTTCCGGAACGCTCGAATGCTGCCAGAGCCACCTGCCGTCCAATGTGCTTCACCGCATTTGGACTTTAGCAGACGTTGACAAGGCGGGTCACAGCGACCAACGGTGTTCCTCGGGCGGGTCTGATCAGAGATGTCAAACTGGCCGTGCTACGTGAAACACGATACGGTTCTTGACTTCAAATGCTTTAGAGAACCTCCGGTTTTTGGGTTTGAGTTTTCCTGGGTTGGGGTGTCAGTAGACTCCCCCAGCCACGCCGGCTGAAACATGCTGTTGCTCCTGTTGCTAGCTCGAAGCAGCGGTGCTTGGCGAGGACGGCTTCCTCACACTGCCGGAATATGCGTTGGCGATGCATTTGGTTCAAATGAAGCTGGATGGCGAGGACAGGATTCGAGACTTAGAGCTTGTCACAAAGGTACTTGTGCATAATTTCTTTCTTGTTTGAGTCTAATTATATAAAGTAACTTCATGCGAGCAAACAACCTGACAGGTTTCGAAACGGACTGCGTGGTTGTGTCAATTATGACAACTCCCACAACATAGTAAAATCTTTACCAAAGCGTGTGTTGTTTCTGGTTTAAATGGGTGCATTCGAAAGAACATGTGTTCATGTTCCGTGGAAAGATGGTCTGGCTGGCAGTGTCGAAAGCTGGCGGCAATACAGTTGCAAAACAGTTCCCATCCCTTTTTGGAGAAGACATTGAACAAGGTTGTGATCGTGCAGATGATGTTGTGACGAAGATGACGTGACAATGTAGATGTGACAGCAACCTCTTGAGGCCCCCAACCACCCCAAGTAAATCTCAGTTGTATGGTCTTTCCTTGACACATCTCTTCCGGTAACAATGATATTATGAATGACAACGAGGTTCTGATATCGTTGATACATCTTTAAGGCACGTAAACTCCGACAGATCTCCACTCAAGCAATTTTCAACCAGGAGGTCAAACCACAAAAGCATTTGGGATGGCTTAGTTTAGTTAGTACATGTTAGTACATTTGACGGTCATATAATGGGGGCAAGTCAACACAGGCAGGGGAATGAATGTCACCACAAGCTGACTGGTGCGACTTGTAGGGAATGAGGGCATGGGCCTCAATCTTCCGGATCCAGCCACTTCCTTGTTCCACATGAGCCGGTCACCCCACCGTCGCCACGAGCTGCACGATAGCGACTTCGCAGGACTTGCCCGCAACTTTGCCCGAGGAGATGCTACCCGAGGAGAAAGAAGAACACCAAGAGCCATACTGGCGAATGCGAATGCTGCGAGTGCCATTTTTCCAGGTAGTAGCTTCTTGCTACTAGTAGCGATGCACTTGTTACTAGGAGCTTCTTGCCACTGATACTCTCTTCCCGGCACCAGGAGCTACGATGAGCCGAACGACCCGCACGTTTGGAGCGGCATCGAGAGCGTCGGCGCGACCCGGAACACGACCACGGTCGGCGCGGACGAAGCACTTCGATGTGTGCCCGGGGATCAGCGCGACGCGGTGGCGAACGCCACCGGTGATGCACGGGTTGAGGCCAGAAAGACGGGAAAAAAGGAGCCAAGGAGCTTTGATCTTGCTAGAAAGGAACAGAATCTGAATAGTTTAGAGACATGCTTGGAACATGGCAAGTGTTTTGGTTTGGAGGTGTTTGGTTTGGCGTGAACTGCTTGATTCACAAATTCAGAGCGCTTTGCGCTTTGCTCACAGATTCAGATCAACAGAGAGAAGAATCAGGAACGCTACTGAGACATGGAACAACACTACTGAGCTGGTTTCAATCGACGCATGGAATGCATTCCCAAAGATGGCGAAGGCAGTCTGTAGACCTTCATGGCTTGCTCACAGGACCCAGTTGCTCTCCAAAGATTTTAGGAGCCAGCTCATGGCAAGTGTACAGTAGTCTGAACCAGTGCTCAGTCTGTGCTTCTTGAAGGAAGCGGTTTCCACCAGAATACACTAAACATCACTTATTCGGTCCGCTTTTTGGATGATCAGTCCTTTGAGTTGAAGATTCGGATGCAATCCGTGTTTGCATTCAACTGAGTGATCAGTGCTTTGCTCTATATGATCAGTGAACAAAAATGCAATCCTAATCATCCCGAGGTCCGATGCTTTTCGTCCTAGTTAATTCATTCTTTTTCAGATTCCAAATTCCTGGACCACTTCGATTGTGTGGTGAAGAACTTTTTGCTGCAGGACTCCCAGAGGGGAAGTGTCCGCCTGTAGCTCAGTCCGAATACATCCTTCCAAATATCCGGCAGTGCGGTTTTCCGGAGGCCATGTCTATACCATCAATCAGCTCAAACCTCCTCTCAAAGGCAGGGTCCTCCAGTGTTTCCTCCCACTTTTCTGTTCCAAAAACGCGGCGTCGACTCCTGCTGAGGCGAGAAATGACTGCTGCTGCGTCGCCGGGTTGACCTATGCCCTCGAAGGTGCAAAGATCGGGTGGATTTGTTGCAGAATCTCGGCAGTGCGAAGCTTCCAATTCTGCAGCATTTTGTGAAGTTAACACGGTGCTGTGTGGTAGAGGAGAGTTGAGAGAGTGGTTGCCAAAGCAAAGAGACTTGGCACGGCTTCTGTGTCGGCCAGTGTTATTCATTTGGTTCCAAACGTGTGCCTCTTTGCAGGTGCATTTGGCTGGCACAAAGAGACTTGGCAGGCTCGGTCGCCGGAGCGGCGGAGCCTCGGTCGAGCGACCGACGACGCCAGGCCCTGCCACGGCAGTGCTCTGTCTCGACGCTGTCCTCCTGCTCTGCGCAAATCGAGGAGGAGGCGGAGTCGAATAACCTTTGTTAACATGGCTGTGTAGTAAAGGGTGCAACTACCAAGGACCTTCCAAGTGACCGAACTTGAGCCAGTCCACGAGGTCACAGACAGTCCCCCTTTTCAGAGGTCACAGAAAGGGTCAAAAGACCATGAAAGGTCAGAAAAGCAGGAAAGCCGAGTGTCAGAACCGCTTCCAAGAAAACCCCGCCAGGGTCGTGTGGAATGGCCCGCCCTTGGCTCGCCTTCTCTCGGCGCGCCTTCATTCTCGCTGCGCCCACGCCTGGTGCGCACCGAGAATCTGTCATACTTCACTCATCTTTCTCAATTTTATTAATCTTTCTTTAAAGCTTCACAGGTGAATTGCCAATCAAGTTCGACCTTATCCAGTTCAGATGATGGTGGCTTCCTTGAGTTGGACCAGGTATATAAGTGGGACTCCAAACACCGTTTTCTCCCAGGTCTTTGCTGACGCTTCGCCACACCGCCTGCCGAGCCGCTGCTTGTCGCATGGTGGACGCGCGGCGACGCCCAAGGAGAGCGCGACGCGCGGAGGAGAGCGTGTCGCGGCGTCGGAGATCGAGGAGGAGTGGATGCGAAAGCCCGAAAAAAGGAATGGCAGACAGGATCTGGTATCATTTGGTCAGCTTTGCAGTTCTGGTCAGCAGAGGCAAAGAGTGTGGGCCAAAGAAAGCGCCAAAGATGGATAGGGTGGGCCACTGCATTGGTTTTGTTTTTCATTTTTTTCCAGCCGATCCAGATGCGTGTGTGACATTGTTTGGAGTTTGTTTGACGGAGCTTGCCGTCTTGGCCCAAACTGCTCAATGTCACAGGATCACATTCAGGACATGTCCGATTATGGCTACCGACTCTACTGAACTCTTTTTTGTTGTCAACAAGACAACTAGCAAATCTCAAGATCACAAGACCACACACAGCTAAACCCACAGCACAAGCAAAGTTCTGAAACGAACCCACAGCCGCTTTAGCCCCCCCCTACGCTGGAGAGAGACTAGACTTAAGGCCACTCTGGCGATTTTGTAGCGGAAAAGATGCCCAAACCAACCAAAGAGGCCCGGCCTGGCACAGTTGGTGAATCGGATGAGCCTTCTTTCGGCCTCGATTCTTCATGATTTGCTGCGTTTCTTTCATGCAAGGCTATGATGGATTTCCTCTCTGCAGGGGTTGGATCCTTGGAAGTTTGGATCACACTTCATGTTTCACGGAAGGCTCTGTCTTTCTTTCTTTCTTTCTTTCTTTCTTCCACTGAACCACTTGCAAGATCAAGATGATGCAGACCGACCGAACGCGAGAGCTGCTGAAGGCCAGAGCAGCTCCACTTTTCGGTCCGCCCCTTTGAGCGAACGCCGCGCCGTTGATTTGCAGCTCCATTCGTGCTCTGCAGGACCCGAAGGCGGTGCCGCATGCCGGACGCAAACTCATCGAGCTGCAGCGAGCAGAGTCGGGGGATCCAGCCGGGTGCGGAGCCCGTGGCGGATCTCGGGGAAAACGGCGGATCGACTTTGTGGGTGTCGGACGTGTGGTTTTCGTTCTGATTTCCTTTAGAAAGGTGGTGTGTGTCTGGTGAACACAACTGCACCACGGTGCACCAAACAAAGACCGATTGGTGCAAGGACATTTGGAGTCGAACACGGTTGCTTGGTTTGTCTATCCAATGGAACAGTAAATTCTGGCCAAGCTTTGTTTGCTGCCGAGGTGGTCTACGCTCGGTTTCGATGCAGACATTGGGTGCAAAGCACTTGATGAGATTGATTGCAGCTTTGTGCAGCATTAGAAGGGGGAGAAGCAAGCTTGTTTTTAGCCAGTCACTGGGATGAAATAGAAGTACTGCTAAGAACACGAGAATGTTTTGCAGGTTTAGAACATGGCAGACCATTGCGCATTTGCTTTCCGAATGGATAGACGCACCATTTGCCCGCCAACTTAGGCAGAGCTGAAGGACGAGACGACGCTTCGCGAGACGACGAGTCGACGAGTCGAGCTTCCAAAGTTGCGCGGATGCCACACAGCATCCTTTTCTTCTTGCAGGAAACAAAGAGTTGCTGGACATGAGGATGAAGTTCATGCACACGGCCATGCGAACGTTGCTTGGCAAGGGCTGAGTTTGCACATTTCGGACATTAAAATGAGTCTCTCATAGTCTCGGTCAGACGACAGACGGACTAAACCGGGCTGAGGTACTTGCAGGCCCTGAAGGACCGGAGACCAGCCGTTTTAGAAAGCAAGAGGCCATTGCCACGAGTGGGGGGGCCTGGCACGGAGGAAGCTTAACCGAAGATGTTTGTTCGTTTGTGATCAGAGCTGATCCTGAAGGCAAGCATCCTGGAGTTCTTTGATGCTTGCAACACGAGGCGTGGTACAAACGAGGCGGTTGTGCATCCAAACGTTAGGACTTCGATTTTGTCCTTTCGTTTTTTCGGAGACACAAGTGAGCTCACGTCGTGCAGGATGGACTTACCGGAAACTCAGGAGGAGACATGCTGAACGGGCAGACCTGGGAGGGGATATTCCGATATACTACATTTTGGATTTGAACTTTGGGCGATGTGCGGAAAGGAGTTGCTCAAGTACATCGCCGTGGAGGGCAAGGCAAGGTTTGCGGACGGGCATCTCCCAATGAAGCCTAATCCACTTCTTGCGCGATCAATGCAATCTGTCGTGAAACGATGATGTATTTTGTAAACGAAGAAACAGGGAGACAACCAAAGGTTGATTAACGGTTGCACACCTACTTGCCATTTTGGCTATAGTGGCCCCCCTGCTGTTAATCGTGCGGCACGTGTGACTTGGGCGTCGTGGAGGTGGACACTGATGACAGCCCCCAGTTGATGGGGGAGACAGCGGGGGGGCCACAGAGACCGAGCTCCATGTGTACGAGGTGGTGTCCATACAGGAAATGGCACGAAGGCTGACGGAGCTCACCGAGATGCGGAATGAAGGTCACAAGTCCTACTGCCCGAGCGAGAAACAGGACTCCCCCACGGAAACCATGGAGGTGGACTCACAAATTGAAGATGAAAGAAAGAACCCAAGCCCCCTTGAGTTCCTTCGCAGCTAGGTCGAGAAGACGACAGTGGTGGAAGTCAAGGGCGAGTGGGGTGACGAAGTTGAAGTATAGAGTTCCCACGCATTGTTGCAGGGCACGGCTCCAGTGTGATGGACACCAGGTTCTTGACACCCAAGCTACAAACCTTCAGACAGGGTGCGAACTCCACCGGCCAAGGCTGACTTGATTGATGAGGTAAGGAAGTGCTGCAGAGCTGGATGTTGGAATGCGGCGACGGTGTGTGTGACTATGTGATCAAACCCTGATCCTGGACAGCCCGTGTTGGGCTGAGCCAGATCCCCAACTTGAAGAGCAAACCTACAAATCCCACTGTGGATGGGTATGGCTGGCACCCATCCTGGAGCCAGTGAATCAGCGCTCTATAATCGGGCTGGGAGTGAAAGGGGCGTCGAAGGAGATCCGTGAGTGCTTGAAATTTGTTGCCGTTCTACTCAGGTCTGCGCCGCCCAGAAGGTTGCAAGCAGTGCCAAGGGAACCCCACGTGTGATGTTCACTCAGTTTGCGTCGCACAGGGTTGTCGTTCTGTCACCAAGGCTGGCAAAACCTATAGCGTGTGGCTTGTGGTTCAGTGGTTTCTGTGGAGATTGTGGACTCGTGGCGCGAGTTTGGCAGGTCATAGCGCAAGCCGGGATGCTACCAGTGGTTCTAGTGAAACGTCATTTCAAGCAATCTGCGTAACAACAACGGGGTCAAAGAGGCATTTGTGGTTGGTACGGCCAAGAGTGCTGCAAGTCGCAAGATGTTGACCCAGGACTCGAGCAGTAACAGTCTTTCATGGTATACCAACATCCCTTCCCCCAGCAATATAGCTGACGCTCCATCGAGGCTGGAGGGGGGGAGCTGGACAGCGCTCGAATACACCGGGTTGAATGTGGTACTTGACTACATGAGACACACCATACTTCGGGTAGTCTAATGTGAGACTCTGTTCAAGTTAAGTCCAAGGGTTGGGCGTTTTCGAGAAGGTCTTCAAAGGCATGCACACAAACCGCATCAACAATGTTCTTTCCGCATAGACAATGTTCTTTCCGCAGCAACAATCTTGTTTTATACACTTTTTATTCTCTTGGATTAGAGGAATAACTTTCCGAACACTAAAGAACTCTAAACAATTTTACAAAAAGTTTACAATGTTCTAAAGAACTTGTCAACATGCATGTCCGAACACTGGCCGAACACTAATATAAAGCTACAAATTTCTCTTTGCGTTATAAATAACAACCGTTTGTCGCCCGAACACTAACCGAACACTAACATTTTTTTGTAAACTTCTTTCCTTGTTTGAGCATTGCAACTTCTACAAGAAGTTCTAAAAGAAACTTGCAACTTTAAAAAGAAGTTGTTGAAAGAAGTTGAAAGTTGTCAAAAAAGGTTAAAAGTTGCCAAAACAAGTTCTGAAATAAAGTTGCTATGGCTGTGTTACGTATAGGCTTATTCCAGGTACAACCATCGCAGACCTTTTGAAAACACTCAATCCAAGGGTCAAGTAATTAAGAGCGAGTAAGTAAGTCTGAGGCTGCGCTGTTTTTCCATGTCTGTCAAAGCAGCGTAGCTGCACCGAACGAGCCCCCAGTGAGAGAAAAAGAGTGCGTGCAACGTTCGAAGGGGCGAAAGCAATCTGTCGCGAAGCGATGATTTTTGTTTTTTGTAAGCGAAGGAACAGGGAGACAACCAAAGCAGGTTGATGAACGGTTGCACATCCGTGCCATTTTGGCTATAGCGGCGAAAGTGCCCGCCTTCCACGCCCTATGCACCGGGTAGTCCGGGGTAGTGACTGGAGACCAATCAACTGTTGTCGTTGAGGTCTAAGTGTGTGGCATAAGTCGGTAATGTGAGACTCTGTTCAAGTTAGGTCCAAGGTCCAAGCGAGTAAGTAAATCTGACGATGCGTTGTTTCTCGTTAAGATCTTCCTGTCGTCCACCTTGAAGGACAACGCAAGCCTACCAATAGCAATGGACTCTCATTTTGACCTTGACACTCCACCTGAAGATCATTGGGATGGCCTGAGCTGGGACTCTGAAGCCCACTGTTTTAGGGCGATCCTTATTTTGGAGACGATGTTCTGCACTCTGCAAGGTGCCCAATGACGTGATCATTGGGATGCAGACAGATCTGCTGGAGGACCAGCGAAACCATGCGACGTCAGGGACTGGAAGTGGACGGACCAAAGTGAGCCACAGGATCTGGGCTTTGAGAAGGAGCACGGCTGTGCCATGCTGTCGCGCATCCCACAGGAGACTCGATGCCAGCTGACAGGCCAATTTGATTGGCCATCAATGCCCTTGATGGATTTCTTCATGCCCTTTTACTTCCAACTCAGCCATCTAAACTTGTTTGCCTTCCAACGCCATCATCGGTGTACAGCACATCGCCATCATCCTGCTTTTTTAATATTATAAGGGTCTTGATCCAGTCTCACTGTTCTGGACGAACACAAAGTCCAGGACTTTCCAAAAGATGCGGAAGTTGGTCAGAAGATGCAGGTTGCGTGTTGGTTGCTTGCTTTGTGACTTGTCCGATCGTGAGAGAGGTCTTGCCAGTTTGGTTATACCATGTTTTTTGTTTCAGATGTGGAAGACGAAAGCCTCACAAACTTGCATGGCGGCCCTGAAAGCACACCAGGCGGCTGGGACTTCGCGCGTAGTCGCACGGCTGGTCGACCGGCCGGTTGGGTGACTTGTTTTTGAGGCTGGTGGAGGCGAGTTGCTGAAGATGCCCATGATGCGCCTTGGCACGGGAGGACTGGGAGGACTTTTGAGATTTGAAGAGCTGAGGATCTGCAGATGTTTCAGCGCCATGTGGGCCATGTGGGCCATATGCATGTTCTTGCGCCATGTGAGAAATCCTCCCCGAAATGGCTCTGAGGCCACAGCTGGACAAGGAATTTGCCGAGGAGATGGAAACCTTCGGGTCCCAGGAGCTCACCATGCGCCAACACCACGGCAGACCCGGTTGGAAGATAGACTGCAAGAATCACCTGCAGGCAAGGGAAGAGATCTCCAAAATGTCCGAAGAACAGTTTCGGTCTCAGAAAAAGACATTGTAATTGAGATTGTTTGTAGAACACTTGCTTGTCGTTCTTTTTTTCCACCAGCTTGCTGGGTTCAGGAAAAGATCTTTCATGGACGAAAAGACTCTTAAGAAAATGCAGGCCACGTTGTAAGAAAGTGTTTGATTGACGAGTTAAATTTTGCATTGGACCAAGCGAAGTCTTGAGTCTTGATATTCCCTGACCGCAATGCACACGACAAGAAAGGAGTTGAACTCACCTGACAGGTCTTCCAGAAGCTCCCGCCAGACGGCAGGCTCGTTGCTTTCTGGAGGATGTGACACTGCTATTTCTGTTCGTGTCCTCTTGCGGGCTTGGTTGCACTTGTGGGGTGGCTTCCTGAATTGTGCGAAACTAGCGCCCGTGGAGCTTTCAATTTCGCTTTCCCAGATCACATGAACCTTACTAGCATCACCAGCACTTAGAGTAGTACTGGCTTTGCGGATGTAGTTGGATGTGGCCTCTACTCTAGCCTCATGGCCACACGAGTAAGGAGAGCGGACCAGATTGCATGCGTGGTGTTTGATGTACTTTTTGAGCTGCCCCTGTTCTGCCCTCGCCAGGATGGGCTATGTGAAGCGGCTGGCAAATGACGAGAAGCTTGAGTTTGTCAAGACGCAGATGATTGCGGCTGATTTGATGAAACGGCAATACCAGGCGATGTTTTCAGGGCGATTTTATGATTGCGATGATTGAGGGTAGACAAAGTAGTACTCCTGGGTAGACCCCACGAAGACAAAGGCGGTAGACATGAGGCACGAGAAGAAGTAGACGAAGTGGAGTAAACTGAGTGAACCTTCCTCCTGTCCTTGCCCAACAGGAGCAGCAGTGCGGCGCTCAGTGGAGTGTGATCGAAAGCAAGTCCGAACGAGAAACAGCAGTTGAAAACGCTGGTGAATGATACAGGTGGACTTCCGCGGGGTTTGAATGACCATCGGATTGGTGTTCGGGAACAGGAACATGTAATGGATGGTCTCTTTAGGCACACGAAAAGGACCAACACACACATATGATCACATATGTATATATAAGAAAAAGAGGGTTGAACCCCAAACATGAGTCAACCTGGAACCCTTTTTCCGGTGTTGTTTGGTTTCTACGCCAAAGGAGTCAAAGGGTGACGCGGTCGACTCCGCTCGTTCCGCTCGATGAGGAGCGCCCAAGCGCCGACGGCCTGCACCATGGATGAGGCGTGGCCGATGGCGCTGATGGTGCGAGCACTGTGTGCAGAGCACCACGCGTGTAGAGAACAGTTTGGGCATTTACCAGGGAGTCTTGGTGTTTTACTACCCAACTTGGGAGCCTTGATGGAAACAGGTCTTGGTGTAGAAGGGTTTTATCGTAGTAACGCCCCAAAAGGGCCTTGGTGTACAGAATCTTGGTGTCATGTAATAGGATCTTCTTAGCGTAAAGGCCTTGATGTGAAAGAGTCTTTAAGAGGCTCCTGGCCTGGTAAAGGGGTCTGGAACCTTGGAGCTCTGGAGCTCTGGAACCCTTTGGCTCTGGACATTGCTTTTGATCGCGTGGAGACGCTGGAGCTGTGATCGCATCAGATTGCATTGCTTGTGGGGTTCCTCTTGGCGGTGATAAGAGCCCGAGCGACCGCATCAGTACGCCCCGCACGTGTTCTTATCCAAGATGCTATGTTGGTGTCTACACCGCAGTACTGATGATTTCGTTGTATATGGGCGTTCTTTCCTTCTTTCTTGCAACTCGACTTCAGTCTCAGGACTTTACGTGAGCTGTAGTCAATTTGGGGAGGACATGGTGAGACAAACACTCACAAAGAATGCCATGCTCTTTGCGGGGGTGCGGAATTGCTGGCACCATGTCTGTATGACTTTTCTCAAACTGTTTGCACGCAAGGTGGCAACCGACTGTTGGCCCCCCTCGAAGTACTTGTACCTAGGATCAAAATTGAGAGGAACCACAGCTACAGATCCTCCAAAGCAGTTCAAAAGTGCAGCAACCATCGCCACGTAGGTTGAAATCCTGTTGGGGGAACCCTCAAGTTTCCTTGTTTCCAAGAGTGGCATATGGCAAATCTAGTGGGATCCTGTTATGAACAGATCCTTCCGATCGATTCATCGAATCAGACTCCACAAAGACCAGTCAGCACCAGGGTCCTTCCTAGATGTTCCGGCTGCCAGGGTCCTTCCAAAGCTCCGGCGCAGTGCGAGACCTGGAGACGCCGTTTCAAATCACCACGCCGTTTCATTCAACCACGCAACGTCTGGACTCAACGACCCGACCGGCAGATGGTTTGCCATTCTCAGCCATCGCAGGGAGCAGATGATGTGAGGGGCCGTGAGGGGCCGGGAGCGGTGCATCATGTTGGCTTCCAAACCCTGTTGATCTTGACCAGATAAATTCTTTTCCCATAGTAGCATCTCTGTTTACACACAGAGCTGTTTCACTTGTGAAGACCAGTTCATCCACTGTTCAAGTCTTCACATCTTGACGCCCGTCACAGAAGCTGATGGGTGAGTAGAAAAGATCTTGTGAGCAGTGAGCTGTCACCAGGTCAACGGTAGAGATTTCTCGATCACGATGGATCCTCCACTGCACTCTCGGGAGATGCACACAGCGGGGAGATGCACTGAACTCCGCCGATGCACAGAATCCGAGTTTGGCTCAAGATCCGCGGATTCAGCGCCAAGCATGCCATGGCCACGGGCCATGATGAGAGGCGCGCTTACCCCCACTCGGCATTGATGGAGCGCCCCCGTCCATAAACCGCTTCGGGCATTTGAATGATGTTGGGCCGGTTCGGCGAAGTCTCAGACTTTTTGAAGGTTTCACACCTAAAAGTGCTTTGCTACGTTCATTGATGTTCATGACCATGCCGAAGCCGGTTTCACACCTTTGAAGGTTTCAATAGTTCAGGTGTTCATGGATGTTCCTGTTCCCCACGTCCCAAGTCGACGTTTTCTTTCGGCGTCCGACCCCTCGGATCGTTTGTCGGGTCGCAGCAGCAGTTTGGCTCAAAATAGCAGCTCATCTGCTGATCGGTCCCTGTAGGGGAGCCTGGTGGCCAGAGCTTCGTTGGGGTGGGGACGAATGAGAAACCACATCTCACTGCGCGCTGAGATCAGGTTCTCCACCATGATGCCCATGCCTGGTGCTGGAGGATGGCTGGGATTGGCATTCTGAGTTGGGATGAAGGATGAATGTGGATTGTGTAATCAGGACCAGGAGGGCAAGGAGTTTTTGTCATCAATAAGAATGCCAAGCGGGACCAGGCGCCTTGCGTTGCAGCTTTGTGAGATGTTCATGCCCATGCACGCTGCGAAACCCGCAGTTCCCCGCTTCCTGCAGGGGCGAAAAGCGCAACTCACAAACATCCAGGTGCGTCCTCGCGTGTTTTTTGTTAGGTTGTGTGCTTGTTTGATGAGCGTTCCCCTTGAAAGAGTTGCGAGAGTTCGAATCCTTTCTGAAATGACTTGTTGTTCTACCCATGTCAACATGGTTCAGGTCAGCTAAGGTCCCGTGTCTTCTCTTCCACCCACCGTGTCAACGTCGAACCGAACCGTGACGCTTCGGAACCCGACCGGCAGGCGGGCAAGACAGTAGCAGGCATTGTGCGGACAACACTGGGGCCACGAGCAATGCTGAAGATGCTGTTGGGATCTTGGGAAACAGGAAAGGCTTAGCGAGCCGAACGGAGTTTTCAATGGAGGTTTAACGACAGATGTCACGTCAACATCACGTCAAAGTCGGACGAATTCGTGAGAAAGCGAAGACAGAAAAGGCCGGTCGCCCGAAGTAGCTTATATAAGTAGCTAAGATAATCTCCCAGCGATGGGCCTTTAAGGCCTAGCAAGCACGACTTAGATGAGAGTGTGATGCAATGAGGCACCACGTTTTGTGAGACACCACGGTCGCCCACCTCCCGCTGCGATAGACCGGATGTCCGCATGATGTTTTCCCTGAGGCTAGATCCTATGGGTGGAATTGTGATGACCAATGATGGCAACGCCATCCTGCGTGAGGTCCGCATTGATCTATGAGAGAACAGTGTTTCACGTCGAAGCCGCAAACTTTGAGAGTCCACAAGACATGCGAAGATGTGCTCAGCTGCTTCATTTCTTGCTGCAAAAGCGAGAACTTTGGAGAAATTGAACCTTTTGAGAAGGGTCCTCCAAATCCTGTTGCGCTTTCAGGTTGACGTCTCTCATCCTGCGGCCAAGAACATGATAGAGCTCTGGACTCAGGGATGGGCAGAAGGCATAGCGCATGGAATCTCCAGCCAGGAAAAATCCACCCAAACCGATGGTTACCGTGGTTCCTTCTGCTTTGAGCCCCAATGATGTTTCACCCTCACCTGGCTCTGAGGCTACAGTATTGATTTGAAAGACATGTTGATTGGCTGATTGAGGAAGCATGTTCAATATTTTCTATTTAAATTTGTACTTTCCTGAGGAAACTTAAGCCCCGACCAGAGTGTGTCAAAAGAGAAGACATCATCGGCACACACGACTTAGGTTGAGTCGGGCGCAGGACGAAGAAGTGGGAGATGGCACTACGTCAGTGATCATTCTCGCAGGGTGCCACTTGCAGGTAATTCAAGGACAAGGATAAGGCATTGAAGAGTGAAGAAGGAGAACTTGTATCAACCAATACCGTTCAATACCCTTAATTATAACTCATAATCTCATTTTTGGGCAAAGTTGTTCTTGCTTTTCTAAACACTTGCATGCTGGTTGGCCTGAACCTTGCATCTCCTGACGCCAGGGAACTTTTGGGAGTGGCAGAGCCTTTGCTTGAGAAGAAGCTGCACCCGACTCTCATCGTGTCGGGTGCTCAACTTCGAAAGGCTACGTGAGTGTCTTGTGACCGGTGTCAACAGTAGTCAGGGGGACACAATGCGATTGCCTGAATACCACAGTTTTGTTCAACCCACTATCAGAAAGCTTAATATCTAGCAGTGAGGTCTGGATACATGAAGGCTCTAGAGGACGCGCAGACGCTACTGAAGGAGTTGGCGTCAGCTGCCATGTTTTACAGCTCTTGCAAGTGTTGTGCACTTTTGCCTTCGTCCCACGTTTGGATGGATTTTGCAGGTACCCCGTGGACGTGGATGATCCTAAGGTGCTTCCATGTGTATTTTGTTTCTGGAATCTGAATGGTCATGTTTTACGATCTCAATACCGAAACACATGCTTTAAAGTAAACACTTCAGATCCAGTTGCAAGTGTCAAAAGCAGCAATGGAATCCCAACTGCAGACCACTGCCGAGCGGGCGAGGCCTTGGGCGAAATCGTTCGGGGTTCCATCGACACGAAGTTTGCCAGCAGGCTCCGTGACCGCGGGGCCCGAGCTGAAAACCACCGGGAGTCGGACCGGGGTGTTCTTCGGGACAACCGAAGACCACGTAAGGTACCGAGAGGCCGAGAGGAAAGAAAGGGGTAAAAAGATTGAAGATGTATACTGTATACATCTGATTACACCCTACTGTACTATGGATGAATTCAGGATGGTATGGATTGCTATGGGCTTTCAGTGAGGCGCCTCCTTTTTTTGTTCTGTGACTTTCTGGAGGTTTGGCTCGTTGATTTCCGACCTGGCCATTCAAGCAGTCAAGACTGTCTGCATTGTGAAGCCTGACGGGCGGAAGGAGCCGCCTCCGGTAGACGTCGCTTCGGTCGACGTCGCTTCGGTCGACCGTCGGTCGAAACCCAGGAGATCGACGTGAAGCGCTTCGCCAAGGTGGAGAAGATCCAGGGCGGAGAGCTCTCGGATTGCAAGGCCTGACCAAACGCAACAAACCTCCAACCCAAAAGCGGCCTCCAACCGACTTAGCAATGGCCTCCTCTCCAACCGTAACGAAGTGTTTTGTGTGACTTCGGTGTGACGAATTTCTTCGGCCTTCGTGGCCTCTTCGCAGGTTTTGGATGGTGTCATGTTCAACAAGGACATCACGCATCCCCGAATGAGACGCGAGATCAAGAATCCTCGGGCACGCTGGGCGGGCATTTCTTTTTTGGAGATTTGACCGCTTGTCGCACAGCCCGGACTCATTTTATACTGTGATTTGTTTGCGCTTCCATGAGGTCGTTTTGCTCGACTGTCCCCTTGAGTACAAGAAAGGTGAAAGCAGCTTGGCATCGAGTTGGAGTAGCTCCAACCATCTTGAGCATTCTTGAACCAAGGTCTGACCGACACCATCAGAACATCTCTCACATGGCAAATGTCCTGCTTTTTTTGATGAGGTCAAACCAACGTCGAGATCACAAAAGAAGCAGACTGGGAGAAGCTGCTGCAGCAAGAGGAGGCTCAGCTTCGCAGCCTCCAACGACGACCTTTTTCTCTTTTGCGATATTTGGTAGTGTTGATAACAAGAGAACAATGCAAGTATTGAGAGCACTACTAAGTTTGGCGGGTGTTGATAACAGAACCTAGCGAGTTCTTTTCATCATAGAAAATGATACTTCCAGTTACACGGAAACGAAACTTAAGGCTTTGCAAGCAGCTGGTTCTGTTGGAAGTCCCAAGAAACTGCACACTTGCTACAGGAGGAAATGCGAAGAGTTTGCGATGACATCCTCAAAGTGAAGCCAGACCTGGTGATCACTGAGAAAGGTGTTTCCGTGAGCGTCCTAGCGTCCGTTCCTGGTGAGATGGGAGGGCTTTCCTTGCTGAGTTTGGTTTGGAGTCCAGTAGAGACAAAGGAATACAGTGAAAAATATAGTTGTGTTCTGATGTGTTCTGTTTGGTTGTTCAGGTTGTTGTTGCTAGCAGTGAACAGTATCGAAATCTTTTGATATATCAAGACATTCTGTTTGCGCTTCAGCCGCGCAAGACTGCTGTCGGCGACCGAAATCAGGACCTTGCGCAGCACTTCCTGATGAAGGCGCCGAACCGACCGCGCCGCCACCGCATCGTGCCCGATGCGCGAACCTGGTCAGGGTGGTTGCTCTGTGATCCGCCGTATTCGGAAGACTGACAATCACCGAATTGCCGGATGCCTGGAACAACCGAGAAAGAGGTCGACCATGTGTGAAATCTAACTAGCATTACTAGTAGCGTTACTAGTAGCTTCTTGCTACCAGTAGCAATGCACTTAGCGAGTGGGAAATTGACCATTAGAGTTTTTAGAGACCTTTGCTTGGCATTGGGGTTGCTTGAAGAAGATCTTCCCTGAAAGAGGCTCTAGCTGTGTGGAGCTGTTTGGCGCTATGTCGCTGTCTTCAGTGGTTGTTCATTTAAAGACCAAACAGCTGATTTAAAGGAAGAAACAAGAAAAAGATGTCAAAAAAGGTAGGTAGATCAACACCGTATATAACACCCCTAGTAAAGGA